CAAGTGTCTGCATTTCCATCTCCTGTAAACCCAAATGTCTGCATTTCCACCTCCTGTAAACCCAAAGGTCTGCATTTCCACCTCCTGTAAACCCAGATGTCTGCATTTCCACCTCCTGTAAACCCAGATGTCTCCATTTCCACCTCCTGTAAATCCAAATGTCTGCATTTCCACCTCCTGTAAATCAAAATCTGCATTTCCAGCACCCCAGCACCCAACAGCCTCCCTCCTTACACCACTTGGAACCCAGGGAAAACATCCTGTGTCGATCCAACCCTCCAGTGCCACGTCCAGGCCGCAGCAGTGACCGTAGGAGGTGCTCACAAGTGTAAATCAGGTGAGTAAGAGCTATAAAAACACCTCACACCTGGATTATTCTGCTTTATGTCTCAGAGATTCAGGAAAATGAAGCAAAAAGGTGGAGCTCCAGCACCAAGATGACCTTGGATTCCCCTTGAGCGGCGTTTCCCTGCGTGTCCTTGTCCTCAGGTACGTGGGAAGGGGTTGGTTTGAAACCTGGGAGCTCAGAAATCAAATGAAGGCACTGGGAACATTTAAATGTGAAAGGAGGAGTGTGATTTAGGCATCAGATGGGAGGTGGGAACGACACGCCCAGGAATATAAGATGTGTAACAAAATGGGGAAAAACCTGCATTTCTCCTCCCAGTTCCCAGTTTATTACAAAAAGTGGGATTGGGAAGTTGCATTCCTTGCTGTTTTACTGCACTGAGTGAACACCAGAGGGCAACCTTTCATTTCAGCTGGAAAATGGGGAAGAAATCAGGCAAGAGCAGCCTGGGCTGGTGGGAGTGTCCCTGCCCATGGAATGAGGTGGGCTTGGAGGTGCCTTCCCACCAAAACCAGCCTGGGATTCCAGAATTCTGGAGCCCTTCTGCTCTGGAGCCAGGCTGGGAGAGCTGGGAATGTTCCCCTGGAGAAGAGAAGGCTCCAGAGACACCTCAGAGCCCCTTCCAGGGCCTAAAGGGGCTCCAGGAGAGCTGGAGAGGGACTGGGGACAGGACACAGGGAATGGCTTCCCACTGCCAGAGGGCAGGGATGGATGGGATACTGGGAAGGAATTCCTGGCTGGGAGGGTGAGGA